GATACAATAATTTTCAATAAAAACTGTTTGTTACTATAAAAAAATGCACTGGACTACAAGGAACTTTCATCAGAAGCAAAAATATACTTTTCTAAATCAAATTTTCGCGTTGTTTTCAAATCTGCAAGTAGACTATTTCTATCACTTCTAATTTTTTATATTATTACTAATTATATATATAAAATAATAATTAAAAGAAAAAAAAATTTGTTTTCAAATTATTACTGATTTGATTTTTAATATGTTAAAAATAATCAGTCCAAATTTTCAATTTTAACCTATTTTTTTGGTTCTTTAAAGTTGATGAAAAATTTTTGATAAAGATTTATGAAAGTTTATAGTAAAATAAATTGAATATATTACCATAACTTTTAGCTCAATTACAAGTTTAAAATTGACATCTAGGCCTGTCAACAAAGGAAAAATTGCGGAAAAAATTTTGTTTTTTTAAAAGTTGAATTAAAATATGTATAATGACATACTAATAGTCCTCAAGATTGGAATTGAGCTTTTTTTTTAAATCCTCGCAAAAGTTCAAAAATATGAGCTTTCTTAATTTTCTCAAAAAAAAATATTTAACTTACAAAAAAAAGTTTCGCACAAAAGTTGTTTAAAAGACAATTATAAATAAAAATATAATCTTATATTTTTTCATTTAAACAAATATTTTTCGAGTTACATTACATTTAATATGAGTAATAAAATTTATATTCCATTTTTTTCATTTTACGGTTACTTTTTATCATGTTATACTTACATTAGACACAATGTTATAAATGCATATGTGTGTATGTGTGAGTTTATTTATTTATTGTATCATTAAAGTGTAGTGTATATTGAGATACAACCGATAGAGTAGGTAATTGATTTGACGCTATATTATTTAAACCCAACTAAACGCTAAATTGTACATTCCGAAATAACAATCATATTATGTCAATTGCCACCGGAATATCTGGTAATATTTTTCTTTTTCTTTGCCTTAATCCCAACTACTTGGGGTCGGCCACCCTTATCCTAAGCTTCCACTTGACACGATCTCCCACATCTTCTACGCTCACATCAGCTGTCCTCAAATCGCATTCAATAGCATCCCTCCATCTCTTTTTTGGTCTTCCTCTATCTCTTCTTCCTTCAACATTCATTTCTATAACTGTTCTTACAGCTTTCGATTCTTCTTTCCTCATACCATGACTAAACAATCTAAGTCTATTTTCTGTCATCTTATCCACGATTGACGCAACACCTATACTTCCTCTTATATGCTCGTTCCTTATCCTATCTTCTCTAGTCACTCCACTCATCCAACTAAGCATTCTCATCTCTGCTACACTTATTCTCTGCTCTACTTTCTTATCAACCGCCCAACACTATGAACCATACATCATAGCTGGCCTCACAATTTCATACTAAATTTAAAAACTATAATTAGTATTTATTCATATATTATATTTTAAAATCAAAGAACTACTAATCAGGATATAATTAAAGAAATAAGAGTTCATGTTGCTTTTAAAATATTTCACCAATTTCTCTAAAGGAAACACTATCTACAGATTTGCATCGAAGCGTTTCTTATGATAGTGATTTTAATCACTGTCAGATATCATCTATACTTGTCCCATCTATGCCTCGTCCACACTGTGCCTCGACCCCACTGTGCTACCGTTTTTTTATTGTGAAAATATCAAAATTGACACAAATATGATAATAAAACCCTGATTGTCATTAAATGAGTAACCCACTGCTTCATAATTTTTTTTTTTTTTGTTGCTCTTGATTGTTATACGATTTTTCTCTAAATAAAAAACACATAAAAACATTATAACACTAGATTTTTTACTTAAAATAATTTGTTGTAATTTTTCCTTTTAAATTTTAAACATTATGTCGAGTTTATATATAAATGTTATACAGGTTGTTCAATAAATAAGGAACAGTAAAAATCAGTTGACTTACTGTAATAATACAAAAATAACTAAAAAGGATTAGTAGAGTGTTTTTGACCAAGATTGGATATTTTGGGGCTTTGGTCAATTGGTGAGCAATGAGGTTCTATCGAGGTTGTAGAGTCCGAGAGTTTAGAACAATAAAGACAAGTAGATATAAAAAGTAATAATTAAGGTTCTTCTTATAGAGATATTGTAAATGATTCAACTAGTAAGTACCTGTAATAATACACTGAGGCAACGAAGAGGCGGTGGCCATCTCACGAATACCATGTAATGTGATTATGTATAAGGTCCGAACTAGTTAATAATAATTAATTGAAGTTTAAAGATTAATATAATTATTTGATCTATTGCTTTAACGTTCTATAATCAGATTATTAATTCTAAATAATTGAATTATAAGATAATATAAGTATTGAGTCCAGTATAGATTTAATCTGACAGTGTTAAAATCACTATCATAAGAAACGCTTCGATGCAAATCAGTAGATAGTGTTTAATTCTAAGAAATTGGTGGATAATTACAAAAGCTCCATGATCTGCTAGTTCCTTAGATTATTGATGGTTTTACCTATCATTTGGTATATTTTTTTTATATATCTGACCCTTTAACTGCCCACAAAGGGGGAATTAAAATGACAACTTTTTCACAAAAAATTAATTTTTTCAACTTGACTTTTGAAAATGTTCTGGAAGGTCTGACACTTTTATATATATTTTAAATTAAAGCTAATGTAATGTAATTTATTATGAAAAAAAAAAAATTTTGCACTTTATTTTATCTTCACGGTGAAAATTGCCACCAAATGATATTATAGTGTGAAAATTCTCGATTTTATTTTTTACATTTTTAACTTTATAATGCTATGACATATTGAAAAATGTATGGATTAACATAATTTTTCTATGAGAAATACTATTTTTTAATAGTCCCGTTTTCATTCGACATACTTTATCTTAATTAGGATATTAATAATGAACTAGCAGATCATGTAGCTTTTGAAATAATCCACCAATTTTTTAAAATTAAACACAATCTAAAGATTTGCATCGAAGCGTTTTTTTTTTTGGATAGTGATTTTAATCACTGTCAGATATCATTATACTTGATCCATCTAATTCACGTCACCACTGTGCCACGACCCCCTGTGCTGGGTTTTTTTTACACTTAAGATTAGGGTGGATACAAAATATTTAATTATTAAAATTAGAATAAAAATGTGACAAAAATAATTTATAGATTTTCTGTTGGAGGGAACGATTTTTAAAAGTGACTATTGATTTAATTGATAATTGACAATTGATAATTGATTTATGATTGAATCGTGTGTATTACAATATAACTAAACAGTATGCGTTTGTTGACTATTTCTCTTATATTATTATTTAATTTTTTTTTGTTTCAAAAAGATTATATTCTAAGAATATGAATATCCCATGTTATGGTAGTGACGACTATTTTACGATAATAGTAAATTACTTTGTCATAAATTTCTAGATCCAACATAAACTGTTAGTAATAATTTCAAAAAAGACAATTTTCTACTCTTATGATTTATTTAGTTTCATTAGCATCTAATTATTATTAGATGCTAATAATAAACACTTTATCTTATCTTATGTAAACGGTTGCCGTAGTTAAAAAAACACTATTTTTGTGTTAAAATTTTCGATTTTCGATTTTTAATTTTCAACTTAAAAATGCTATAACTTTTCGAAAAATGTATGTATCAGCACAATTTTTTTTTTCTAAATACATTATAAGTACATCTTTCATTTGACATACTGCTTATTAAAATTAGACAATTTCCCCTTATAAAGGGGGGGNACAAAAATCAACGAATAGTTGCCGAATGGGTAACACCTTGATCTTTAACGCCTAGGGTACGAGGTTCAAATCCGTTTGTGGCTTCTAAAATTTTGCATTTTTTTTTTGAGTTAGAATAGAATTTTCAAATCATTTGATATTTATCTCATTTAGATTCAATAATTTCAATAAATATAAAGGATCTTATCTCTATAGTTTCCCCTCCTGAGAAGAAATTGATATTCATGTTAATATTATTTTACTATGTGGATCTTTTTGTGGCTACGATTTATTTTGCCAACCCTCACTAGACCTACTTTTTTCAACGATACGTCAAATGATTCATTTAAGTTTATGATATTTAAGTTAATGATTAGTTTAAGTTATTACTCTTAAAAATCAAAAAAATATTCCTTATTCAAATAAAAAGTAGCTTAACTAGATTTGTCCATACAAACAATTAAAATCATTAATTTTTAATATTCTTAAATTATTTATTGTCGAATTAAATTTGATATGATAAAAGTATTCAACTACAAAAGTAAATAATTTTACTTTATAATTTATTAATTTTTTAACTCTATTTCTGTGTGCTACTACCAGTCTATAATATGCCAAATTTTTTTGTAATATGTTGCTATATAAATCATAAACTTAAAATAAAAATGATTTTTAGTTTCACCTGAATTTAACTATGGATTTTTACAATTATAATTATATTTTTGATANGAGTTTTACAATTATAATTATATTTTTGATAATATGCTCAATTGAGTAAATCTTTTTAACTACTTTGGTTTGATTGATTCATTTAATTAAAGTAAATTATTAAAATTAATTAAGTTCTGAATATTTCAATTGCAGAATTTTTTTAAACACCAAAAGTTATAAGGATATGATTACTATTCTTTCTATTTCAGTTATCTATTACGATAAAAATGCAAAAAAATCGAATTTTTCTGATAAATGTACTGTAAATAGTAATTATAAAATTTCCAGATTGCATATTAATCTTAAAAATTTCATTTTTTTCAATTTAATAATGTCAATTTCAAACTTGCAAGTTGAGTTAAAAGTTATGGTAATAAATTCATTTTTTTTTTTATTAAAACTTTCACTTTAATGGACAAAAAGAAGTTGGTTAAAAATGATTACTTTTAACATATTAAAAATCGATAATAATTTGAAAATAATTTATTATAAACATTATATAATATATAATTAAACGAATTACTAATCTGGATATAATTAAGGAAATAGGAGTTGATGTTGGGTTGGGTAGGTTACATTTTTAACATTATAATGCTATAACTCATTGAAAAATGTATGAATCAACACAATTTTTTTATGAGAAATAATATTTTTTAATAATCCCTTTTTCATTCGACATTCTTTATCTTAATCAGGGTATTAATAAGGAACTAGCAGATCATGCAGCTTTTGTAATTATCCACCTATTTCTTAGAATTAAACACTATCTACTGATTTGCATCGAAGCGTTTTTTATGATAGTGATTTTAATCACTGTCAGATTAAATCTATACTGGACCCAACTATGCAACGTCCCCACTATGCCGCGACTCCACTGTGCTGGATTTTTTTTAAACCAATCAAAGATATTTTGTTAAGGAGTAAAAAAATTATATTTTTGATTTCAATAATGATTTTTCTTTTGTGTGTTAAATGATTTTGATGAATTTACGTTAGGTTATTTTGACATAATATACAAATAATAAAATGTATTCCAAAATTAGCTATGTACTTAACGAAACATATTTTAGTATTAAAAACTTTTAAGGCAGTTATAATAATTAATGTATTTTATGCATAATGTATATATTATATATATAATGTTTAATGGTCAAAAAGTAAATTCAATTATTGGTTTTGTGCTTCCTGAAATGATTACTTAATATTATATAATGCTTATTTTAATAGAAGAGATCTTACTCATACATTGAAACAACTACTTAAATTATATAATTCACTTCAATGAATAAAAACGGACTATGACCATTGCCAAAAATAATGTTGATGTATTTTATGAAAACCTGTATCTACGTAATCAGTTTTAACATAGTTTTCACAAAAGTCATATAAATATTTCGAAAGTAATTCATATTTGGTGACAATTGAGTCAGTTGCCATTGTTGTATTAATAATAAGTTCAGCGTTAGAAAATTTAGCGTCCAGATGTTCCTTAGTAACTAATAAACCTTCTGAATAACAGTTTTTTTTTTTTTGAATTTTTAAACTACGTACTATACTGTAAAACCTAGATCTTGCTTTACGAAAGCTCTTCATATAATCACTAGCTAAATTTTTAATATTTACTTCAGGTTTGTTTATAAACATATTTCGTATTACATCATTAGATTTAAGTTCAATTACATAATAATATATTAAGTTAAAAATTGAATGTAAGTTAGGAAATAATTTTTCGGGTAGCCATAATGTTGATAATTTTATTTTTTCCATAATAGTCAGCATATAATCAAACATTTTTACTGTATTATTAATTGTGTCAAAAAGATATATTGTACATTTCACATACTCGTTTAAGTCTTTATGACTTCTACACATTCCACTTAAAGCAGTTAATGACGTATTGTACGTTAAAAGTACATCAATAAGTCTACACCTCAACATTTGTGTGAAGTAAAATTTTTTATGATGAAAATTATGATCTGTCACCAGGTCTCTTATCACACTTGTGGCACTTACTATTAAATTATCAAATAGAATTTTTATTTGGCCAAATGAATCCCAATTACCTTCACTAAATAAAGTATTGAGTGTCATGATTCCAAGTTCTTGATTAATAGATTCGTCAATCGGAGGTTTAAACCTATACAAAAATTCAAATATATTAGTTAAATTATTTTAAAATAGCAAGTATTATATATATATATATACACACTATGATTCATTAAGGATATTACACCCCAAAGTTACAATGATATCAAGACTTTAATTGACAGCCTTACCCCACAATTTTAGATTTATTTTTATTCTCAAAATTGAGAAAAATATGTTTTCTAAAATTTAGTTTAGATTGATCAGCTCTAAGGTAGCTCAAAAAGGGTTGATCGAAGTTTAATTTTCTAGAATTTTGTATTTCTCTTGAAAAATATGACTCTTATTTTAAATGTGGTCGCTATAAAATTAGTTAAAAAATAATTTACTACAATAATAATTATTACAGGTTTCACAAAAAGAACTCATATTAACAGTTAAAAAACTCAATACAGTGAGGACGTGGCATAGTTGGGTCAAGTATAATGATATCGGACAGGGATTAAAATCACTATCATAAGAAACGCTTCGATGCAAATCTGTAGATAGTGTTTCATTTAGAGAAATTGGTGGATTATTCCAAAAGCAACATCAACTCTTATTTATTTAATTATATCCTGATTAGTAGTTCTTTGATTTTAAAATATAATATATGAATAAATAAAAATTATAGTTATTAAATTTAGTATAAAATTGATATTCAATAATTTAATATTTTAATTTATACGGAAAAATTATAAAAATAATAAAGAAATTATATTTTGGTTTACGCTTACGTATATAAAAATTTAAGGGACTTGTTACAATAATTTTCAATAAAAACTGTTTGTTACTGTAAATAAAAGCACTGAACTACAAGGAACTTTCATCAGAAGCAAAAATATACTTTTCTAAATCAATTTTTCGCGTTGTTTTCAAATCTGCAATTACACTTTTTCTATCACTTCTAATTTTTTATATTATTACGAATTACATATAAAATAATAATTAAAAGAAAAAAAAATTTGTTTTCAAATTATTACTGATTTGATTTTTAATATGTTAAATATAATCATTTTTAATAATCAATAGGTTAAACATTTTTAACCTATTTTTTGGTTGGGTTAATGAAAAATTTTTGATAAAGTTATGTGAATATAATAAAAAATTTTTTATAATAAAAAATAATAATTTATTTTACCATAACTTTTAGCTTAATTGGCAAGTTTGAAATTGACATCATTAAATAGAAAATTTTATAAGAATTAGAAAGATGGTATCGCTAACATTAATATGCAGTTAGGAAGTTTAATTTAGTTAAGTTATAAATAATAATATCGATCCATACATTTCTCCAAAAGTTATAGCAATATAAATTTAATAATATAACATATAAAATCGAGATTTTTTTCACGGAAATTGTACGTTTTTATTTAACTTTGATGTACGTTTTCACTAAGAAGACAATTCTAAAGGTGAAGTTTTTTTTTCAAAAAAAATTATATTACATAAGCTTTAATTTAAGATATATATAAAAGTGTCAGTCTTTCCGGAACATTTTCAAAAGTTAAATTGAAAAAGTTCTACTTTCTATACGCATTTTAAAAGGTTTGCATCCCCCTTGTATAAAGGGAAATGGTCAGATTTAAAAAAAAAATATGTTGAATAAAGGAAGTATATATAAAGTATTTATCATTAAAGAATAAAGTTGATTCATGCATATTAAAAAACCCCAGCACAGTGGGGTCGCGGCATAGTGGGGACGTTGCATAGTTGGGTCCAATATACAGGGTGATTTTTTTATCATAACCCACTCAATTACTTGCAAAATAATAATAATTTAAACATTTTTTTTTTTATTATCTTTAGTTACACATTATTCTTTCACATTATTATTTTTAACTATGTAATACACATGGGATTGTAAATACAGGTAGCTAATTGGTTTTTTATAACATTGATATTAGCAGGTACACAGCATTGTTGTTATCAGTTGTAGTAAGGCACATTGTTATGAGTTTATAAATACACTAACTGACAATACAGAAAGTATATCTAATGATAATCATAATTGATAATAAACAATCCGTGACTGAGACAGTATATATATAATATATACATTATGCATAAAATACATTAATTATTATAACTGCCTTAAAAGTTTTTAATACTAAAATATGTTTCGTTAAGTACATAGCTAATTTTGGAATACATTTTATTATTTGTATATTATGTCAAAATAACCTAACGTAAATTCATCAAAATCATTTAACACACAAAAGAAAAATCATTATTGAAATCAAAAATATAATTTTTTACTCCTTAACAAAATATCTTTGATTGGTTTAAAAAAAATCCAGCACAGTGGAGTCGCGGCATAGTGGGGACGTTGCATAGTTGGGNAAAAAAACCCAGCACAGTGGAGTCGCGGCATAGTGGGGATGTTGCATAGTTGGGTCCAGTATAGATTTAATCTGACAGTGATTAAAATCACTATCATAAGAAACGCTTCGATGCAAATCAGTAGATAGTGTTTAATTCTAAGAAATTGGTGGATAATTACAAAAGCTCCATGATCTGCTAGTTCCTTAGATTATTGATGGTTTTACCTATCATTTGGTATATTTTTTTTATATATCTGACCCTTTAACTGCCCACAAAGGGGGAATTAAAATGACAACTGTGATGGTGTCACGTTTTCATAATCGTGAGAATTTTTTTAATAAAATACAGACAGCACATCCGCTGCCTGAGACTGATGAATTAACAAATAATATTTATTGCCAAATCGGCAATAAGTGTAATTATTATAAAAACCCAATAGACCTGACCATCGTGGTCAGTCGACTCCAGTGCCTTGTGTCATTCATCAGTCTCAGTACTCGGTTGTCGCTGTCCGGCTTACTGTTTAAAGTAAAGTCTTTGTTTATTCCTTTTCTAACCTATATACTCTTTTCCTCGACATTTCAGAGTACTTGTGTCTTGCACTTCGTCTGCACCTCGTACTCTGTTATCTTTCCTCACCTGGTACGCCTAGTATTTGTGTCTTGCACTTCGTCTGCACCTTATACTCGGCTACCCCGTTCTCTCTCTGAAGTACTTGTGTCTTGCACTTCGTCTGCACCTCGTACTTCATTATCCTCTCCTAATAACTAAAGTACTTGTGTCTTGCACTTCGTCTGCACCTCGTACTTTGTTATACTCCTTATCTGGTACGCCCAGTATTTGTGTCTTGCACTTCGTCTGCACCTTATACTCGGCTACCCCGTTCTCTCTCTGAAGTACTTGTGTCTTGCACTTCGTCTGCACCTCGTACTTCATTATCCTCTCCTAATAACTAAAGTACTTGTGTCTTGCACTTCGTCTGCACCTCGTACTTTGTTATACTCCTTATCTGGTACGCCCAGTATTTGTGTCTTGCACTTCGTCTGCACCTTATACTCGGCTACCCCGTTCTCTCTCTGAAGTACTTGTGTCTTGCACTTCGTCTGCACCTCGTACTTCATTATCCTCTCCTATACCCCAAGTATTTGTGTCTTGCACTTCGTCTGCACCTCATACCTAGGTGTTACTCTTATTCTCCCTTCCTATAACAACAGCCTTTCGACACCCACAGCTAACCCGGAGTGTCAGCCGAGCACGGTGACTGCTGTACGACAACACGCACTTGAATACCTAGACAGCAGGCACCACCTCCTCATGTTCATCTTCGTACACATAGTTGCACATTTACACTTTTACCTTTATCATTTTTACTGTGTTACGACACAACTTTTTCACAAAAAATTAACTTTTTCAACTTAACTTTTGAAAATGTTCCGGAAGGTCTGACACTTTTATATATATCTTAAATTAAAGCTAATGTAATGTACTTTATTATGAAAAAAAAAAAAATTTTGGACTATATTAATTTCACGGTGAAAATTGCTACCGAATGCTTTTATAGTGTGAAAATTCTCGATTTTATTTTTTACATTTTTAACTTTATAATGCTATGACATATTGAAAAGTGTATGGATTAACATAATTTTTCTACGAGAAATACTATTTTTTAATAGTCCCGTTTTCATTCGACATACTTTATCTTAATCAGGATATTAATAAGGAACTAGCAGATTATGTAGCTTTTAAAATAATCCATAAGTTAAAAATATAAAAAAGAATTATTTTATTAATTTTGATGTCTATTTTCACCATAAAGACAAAATTAAGTCCGAAATTTTTTTTTTTGTAATAAAGTATATTACATTAGCTTTAATTTAAGATAAATATATATATATAGGGGTCAGACTTTCCGGAACACTTTCAAAAGTTAAGTTGAAAAAGTTCCACTTTCTATATGCATTTTTCAGATATGAACTACCCAATTTAAAAATAAAAGTATGTCGAATGAAGAAGTATATATATATATATATATATACTACTTATCATAAAAATTGTATTAACAAATACATTTTTAAAAAGTTATAGTATTTTAAAGTAAAAAATGTAAAATATAAAATTGAGAATTTTCACATAAATATAGCATTTGCTAGCCATTTTCACCATGAAGACAAAATAAAGTTTGAAATTTTTTTTTTTCCTAATAAAGTTTATTACATTTACTTTAATTTAGTTATTATATAATAGTGTCAGACTTTCCGGAATACTTTCAAAAAATTAGTTGAAGAAGTAAATTTTTTTTGAAAAAGTTGTCATTTTAAATCCTTTCCTGTGGGCAGGTAAAGGGTCAAATTAATAAAAAACTATACCAAATGAAAGGAAAAGATATCAATCATCTAAAAAAAAATTATAATGATTTATTCATTGTTGAAAAAGTTATGGGAGTTTTAAGTAAAAATAAATTGAAAAAATTTTAAAAAATAGCGATTTTTAAATTTGTAATTTTTTTGGAAGTTTCCCCATTTACAGAGAACAAGGGAAATTTTTTCAATTTTTTTGGCTAGATACGATATGTGATCTTTTGAAGTATCGTTGAAAAATATCGGTTTGGTGATAGCTGAGAAAAAGTGGTAACAGACACAAAGAAAAACACATATATTAAAATTAATAACTTCTCAGCTTCGCATGGAAGCTAAATGTTATTTGGAATTATAATAATTCTCATTAATTTCATTATGTCATTATTTCATTAGTAGTTAAATAATTTTATAGAATTTTTTTTAACACATCAACCTTGTGTTATTCTTATTCCACTAAAAAACTTAGGTACACCAATTATTTGAATTTTTTTTCAAAATATAAAATTTATTAGATTAGATCTAATAAAAAATTAATTTCAGAGGAATGAAAGTACTATTCGAATCGTACATTTATTCTTCTTTTTTAAATATTAAAAAATAAAATGCGTCTATTATAATTTTCTGAGATACGCTTGAATTAAACTATCAAGATATCTCTTTGCATATTTAAGTCAATTATATTGTAACAGGTAATGGACTTAATTTCATTTGATTGTAATTCATATAAATTTGTTAAAATAATAAAAATAAAATTGATTTTTTTACATCCTTAAGAAAAAATAACTTTCTCATAGGTATTTATACATACAATTGATATAATTCATATTTGAAATTATAACACCAATAAAAAATTCATAAACACAGAAATTAAAATTAAGTTATTTAAAATTAAATTATACTTACTTATGATTTGTTGGATTTATCAACTGAATAAATCCAAGATCCTCGTAATTAATTTTAATCATTTCAGTGTAAAATATATTCATCTTATGACACATGAATTGTATAAACTCCGGAAAATCACTGTTGTGTGTCAAATATTCTGTTTCACATTTAGTTTTGAGATCAATTTTCTCATCAGTATTTATAATAGATTTATTTTTTTCGTAACAGTTATTTGCAATTTTAGATATATCACTAATGAATTCTTTAGTTTCGATAAATACTTGAAGATTAACAAAAAGAAATTCGTACAGAATTTTTTTAAAATATATATGGTTTTTTATCTCATAAATGTAATCAACTATTGTGTACGGGTTAGTTTCTAACTCGGGATAGACAAGTTTAAAATCAATATAACTTATAAATGTCATAGCATTGTATAAATTCTCAAACATTGTCAATGAATTGTTTATTACTTCTACAAGGGATATTGTACAATTTATAAAAATTTCGAATAATTGAGCGTCTAAAAAGTGTTCACATATATCAACAACAATATTTAATAATTCTACAAATGTTGAAATTACTTCGCTATACCTGTAGTTTAAAATATAAACAATGTTATAGAAAACACTTAGCAAATTATCTGTGTTGAGTTTTTTCTCAATTAAATCTGGAACACTTAAAAATCCAATGGAATCAAGTTTCATGTGTAAGTTTCTCATAGATTTCCATCCATTTTGAATACACAGATGATTCCCTATTTCAATTATATAATTTAAGTATGACGTTTCTTGAATTTTACATTCTACAGAGGTGATATTGTCATAAATTAAAGTCAAGTTTAAAACAAATAGTCCAAGATTCATGTCAATAAATGTTTAAAATTAAGGTTACTATTTTATGAAATGAATTAAAATAAATTTTTTTTTTGTTATTTAAAGTAATATTCATACCTAAAAATACCGTGTTCTTATTAATATGTGTGTTAACAAAATTGTAATTTATTAAGCGTCAATATACAATTATTGTTATAATTTATTTTTAAATTTTAATTTAATTTAAAAATAAAAATTAATTTTTATTAATAAGAATTTTTAGTTTGTTTCCCTTATTAATAAATTATTAGTTATATTTAAATCTATATTAAGATTGTCGAGATTCTGAAATCATATAATCGTATTACACAGTAAAACATTGAATAAATATAGTTAAAAAAAACTGAAAAACATGCTTTAAAAGCGTGTTTTTCAATTCTTTTAATCTATATTTATTTTTCATTTTTTTAGTTTTTTATGACATCGCTGTTACAGTCACGGAGTGTTTATTGTCAATTATCACTAGCAATATAATTTTTGTATTGCCAGTTAGTGTGTTTATAAACTCACAACAATGTGTCTTATTACCATTGATAATAATGGCTATATGCTTGCTATCATCGTCATAAATAAATAATTAGCTACCTGTATTTGTAATCCCTTATGTATTATACATGTATATTAACTCAAAAAAATTTGAATCTTGAAATGTTTATATCTAATAATAAAAACCCAGCACAGTGGGATCGCGGCATAGTGGGGACGTTGCAAAGTTGGATCCAGTATAGATTTAATCTAACAATGATTAAAATCACTATCATAAGAAACGCTTCGATGCAAATCTGTAGATATTGTTTAATTCTAAGAAATTGATGGATAATTACAAAAGCAACATGACACGGCCCGTAATAGCGCACTATTCATTTACCGGAATTAGCACATTATCCGGTCGTGATTTTCAGCTGTCCACCATCGCACTCATTAGTGTTGACGATAACACAAGTTTGTCTTATCCGACGGTCGGTAGATAGGACAGATCAGGGGGTTCAACACCGTGAGACACGTCGGCGACTAGGTAAACTAGTTCATCTGTGACTTACATCCGCCGTACGTGTCGTCGAGTTATATCCGCACCTTACGGTTTACCCGTCATTTGTATATTATAAATTATAATATTTTTATAACTTTAAAACAAAATAAATTGACTCCACAGTCAGAACATAACGGTGTTACGTTTATTATTAATAACATTTTAATATACTGTGTCAAACATCAACTTCTATTTCCTTAATTATACCCAGATTAGTAATTCTTTTAATTATAATATATAATTTTTAAAATTAATTGTTTTCAAATTATTATTGTTTTTGATTTTTAATACTATTAAAATTATTAACATTTTGAACCTACTTTTTTTTGTCCTTTAAAGTGAAAGTTTTAATAAAAAAAAAAAATGAATTTACTACCATAACTTTTAGCTCAACTTACACGTTTGAAATTGACATTATTAAATAGAAAAAAATGAATTTATTAAGATTAGTATGCAATCAGGAAATTTTATAATTACTATTTACAGTACATTTATCAGAAAAGTTCGATTTTTTTTACATTTTTATCGTAATAGATCACTTAAATAAAAATCATAGTAATCATTTCTAATTAACTTTTTGTGTTTAAAAAGATTCTACAATGAAAATATTCAGAATTTAATTAATTTTAATGATTATATATCTAAAAAACCAATAAAAAAAAAGTGGTTTAAAAGATTTACTCAATTGAGCGTATTACAAAATTTGATTATAATTGTAAAAATCCATCGTTAAATTCAGGTGAAATTAAAAATCATTTTTTTTTAAATTTATTATTTATACAGAGTGATTTTTTTATCATAACCCACTCAATTACTTGCAGAATAATTATAATTTAAACATTTTTTTTTTCATTATCTTTAGTTACACATTATTCTTGAATTTTTAACTATGTAATACTTTTTAAGTTCATCCCTTATGCCTTGGAAGGGGGTCAACTTTGTTTTTTTAAATGGTAACACATATTTTTAATTTAATAAAATGTTTGAGTTTTTAATTTAATAGTAAATGGCATTTGAATTTTTAATATAACTTAATTCGTTTATTAGATATAATCATTTAAAGTTTCAAATTTTTGAATTAATATACAGGTATAATACACAAGGGATTACAAATACAGGTAGCTAATTGGTTTTTTATAACATCGATATTAGCAGGTACACAGCATTGTTATTATCAATTGTAGTAAGGCACATTGTTATGAGTTTATAAATACACTAACTGACAATACAGAAAGTATATCTATTGATAATCATAATTGATAATAAACAATCCGTGACTGAGACAGCAATGTCATAAAAATCCAATTAGCTACCTGTATTTACAATCCCATGTGTATTATACATGTATATTAACTCAAAATTTTGAAACTTTAAATGTTTATATCTAATAAGCTAATAAAGTTATATTAAAAATTCAAATGCCATTTACTATTAAATTAAAAACTCAAACATTTTATTAAATTAAAAATATGTGTTACCATTTAAAAAAACAAAGTTGACCCCCCTCCAAGGCATAAGGGATGAACTTAAAAAGTATTACATAGTTAAAAATTCAAGAATAATGTGTAACTAAAGATAATAAAAAAAAAAAAATGTTTAAATTATTATTATTCTGCAAGTAATTGAGTGGGTTATGATAAAAAAATCACCCTGTATAGCAACATGTTACAAAAAAATTTGGAATATTATAGAATCAAAAAACTAAAAAAAAAAAATGCATATTATTAATTGCTACAGACGGATATGAACCTCGTACCCTAATCGTGAAAGAACCTAGTGTTTGCAGCCGTTTGCAATCAGAAGATAAAGTGTCGGGACAAATTTTTTTTATTCATTTTATAGTACATAAAATATGCTTTAAAGGACGCAGTATTTCCGGAACATTTTCAAAAATTAAGTTGAAAAAGTTAGTTTCTGTAAAAATTATGCTATTTAAATCCCTCCCTGTGAGCAGATTAAGTGTTAAATATTCAAAAAAATGATATCAAATGAAAGGAAAATATCTAAGGTTTTATATTGATGATACGCCTGCATGTACGGGTACGAAAACCAAATATTATACAGGAAAATAGTGTTTCGGCGTGCGGTGAATGCGTTACGACAGTCTAGTCTCAAGACAATAGACGATGGGATACGCGAGATAATAACACGTGGCGAGTGGAGAATTACAAACAACACACAACAAACAACATACATGTGAAATTAATATAAGCGTGTTAAAATTAGCCAATGGCAGAAAAATTTATTGACAAATTTGGATTTTCAATGAAAGAGCATGTCGATATTATTCTGGGAAAATTATTCGCGAAGATAAAAAAATAATTTTAACATTCTGCGAGCGTTTAAAAACTTCAGTATAAATGCTTAGTGACGTCAGTGTTTTTCGAATTAAAAACTTAAATTTTTACCAGATTTACTCAGAAACATTCCAAATGTATCTTAAAATTTTTGTTAAAATTAGTTAGTTTTTGACAGAGTTATAAACTTTTTTTTTTTTTAATAGTTTATATTTTAACACTATTATGTGTGCTCTCATGGAAATATTGTCGATGTACATACATAAATATACCATAGTCATATCAATTATCTTATAATAGGTATAGTTTTCAAACACATTGGATTTTAATATGTATAATGGATATTACTTTAGTAAAAATAAAATAAATTTTTTACCAACTTAAAAAAATGGAAAAACAATGTTAAATATAAAAAAATAAAATAACTTTTTTCTTATAATAATAATAATAGTTATTATTTTTTTTTTTAGCATTTATAATGAAAATATTATAGCTCGACAATTTCTTAGGAATTAGATAATATAGTATTAATTAGCGTTATGAATTACAGAAATAATTGGTGTTAATTAATATAAAAAAAGTAAAATATGTACAGTAAATTATAATACACAATAAAGTAGTTAAATAGTACAACCAGCGCTCAATATAATAGAAATGATGGCAGTAATCACGGGAATAGAATGGGACAACAGCTTTCAATTTCAAGGCTAGGAAGGAGTAGAACGAAGAGAATTATTCTTTTTATTTTATAATTAGTTTCCCTTAATAGTAAATTATTAGTTCTTTGTTAAAGTAATATATAGATAGTTGAGACTTTAAAATTCAAACATATTGTATAATACAAAGATGAAAAAATAACCTATACTAGAAAAATTATTTAACGATTTTCGATATTTTTATAACTTATAAGGTGATTATAATAAATTATGTATTTATTCATCTAATTAATATATAGCAATATAATGATTACAAAATAAATTCAATTATTTTTTTGTGCTTCCTGAAATGTTTATTCAATATTATATAAAACTTATTTTAATAGAAAAGAACTCTTACTCATACATTAAAATAACTAATGAAATATTAAATACGTATTTGGAGTACTTAAATTATATAATTCACTTCAATGAAAAAAAATGGACTATACCCATTTCCAAAAATAATTTTGATGTATTTTATTAAAACCTGTGTCTTCATAATCAGTTTTAACGAAATTTTCATAAAAGTCATATAAATATTTCGAAATAATAATTGCATTATTACAAAATTTAGTGTCTAGATCTTTCTTAATAATCATAAAATCATTTGAATAACACATATTTTTATTTTGCTTTTTTAATTTACTTAGTATATTGGAAAATTTATATCTTGCTTTCTGAAAACTCAACGTGTAATCATTAGATAAATGTTCAATATTTACTTCAGGTTTGTTTATAAACATATCTCGTACTACATTATTAGTTTTGAGATCAATGACATAATTATATATTAACTTATAAATTGCAAGTAAGTTAGAACTTAATCTTTCGGGTAACCATAAATTTGATAATCTAAGTTTTTCAATAATTGTCAGCATAAAATCAAACATTTTCACAGTATCATTAATTGCAACAAAAAGATATAACACACATTTCACATATTCGTTTAAATTATTTTTATTTCTACATATTCTCATTAAAGCAGTTAGTGAGGTATTGTAAATTATAAGTACTTCAAGAAATCTACATCTCAACATTTGTGTAAAGTAAAATTTTTTAAGATGAAAATTATAATTTGTCACCAGGTCTCTAATCACAGTTGTGGCACTTATAATTAAATTGCCATATAGTATTTCCATGTGGCTAAATGAATTCCAACTACCCTCATTAAATAAAGTATTGAGTGTCATAATTCCAAGTTCTTGATTAATAGTTTCGTCAATTGGTGGTTTAAACCTATACATAAATTCTAGACTAAATTAAAAATATTACTAAATTGAGAAAAATACTTTCTCGAAACTTGGATATGATTTATCAGCCTTAAGGTAGATCAAAATGGGTTAATTATCTAGATCTTTATATTTTTCTTGAAATATATTATTAAAAACCCCAGCACAGGGGGGTCGCGGCACAGTGGTGATTTGTCATTGTTGGATCAAGTATAATGATATCTAACAGTGATTAAAATCACTATCAAAAAAAAAACGCTTCCATGCAAATCTTTAGATAGTGTTTAATTTAAAAAAAATGGTGGATTATTCCAAAAGTTACATGATCTGCTATTTCTTTATTAATACCCTGAATGAAAGAGGGATTATTAAAAAATATTATTTTTCATAAAAAAATTGTGTTGATCCATACACTTTTCAATAATTTATAGCATTATAAAGTTAAAAATGTAAAAATAAAATCGAGAATTTTCACACAAAAATAGCATTTGGTAGCCATTTTCACCACGAAGACAAAATAAAGTTCAAAATTTTTTTTTCCTAATAAGGTACATTACATTTACTTTACTTTAATTATTATATAATAGTGTCAGACTTTCCGGAACACTATCAAAAGTTAAGTGTAAAAGTAAATTTTTGGTGAAAAAGTTACCATTTTGAACCCTTTCTGTGGGCTGTTAAAGGGTAAAATGTTCACAAAAATATATAAAATGATAGGTAAATATCTAAGGCATTTAAATCCCCCCTATGGGCAGATAAAGGGTCAGATTTATAAAAAAATATACCAAATAATAAATAAAGACATCAAGCATCTATAAAAAAAAAAAATTTACTAATCCATACATTTTCACAAAAAGTTATAGCATTATTAAGAAAAAAATATAAAAAATAATTATTTTACAAAAATCGTAATTTTTTATTAACTTTGATGTTTATTATCACCACAAAGACAAGTTTAGAGATCAAATTTTTTTTTTCAGTTAGATCTTATACAACATCAAATTCAAAAAAATAAATGTACTATTCAAATAGTAAATTTATCTTCATACGTATTAATTTAATCAATTAAACGAATAAAAATATTGTTCACTAATTTACGCTTTAATTAACTTCATTTGTCTAGATATATTTTTGCATACTATTGTCTTATATATAATTTAGTAAAAATTAAAAAAAATTAAACTGGTATCTTTACCTCCTTAAGAAAGTATAATTTTCTCTTACGCATTTGTACATACAATTGATATAATTCATATTTTATAGTAAAATACCAATAGAAAATCCTCATAAATATAGAAATTAAAATTAAATTATTTAAAATTAATTTATACTTACTTATGATTTGTTGGATTTATCAACTGAATAAATCCAAGATCCTCGTAATTAATTTTAATCATTTCAGTGTAAAATGAATTCATCTTATGACACATGAATTGTATAAACTCCGGAAAATCACTGTTGTGTGTCAAATATTCTGTTTCACATTTAGTTTTGAGATCAATTTTCTCATCAGTATTTATAATAGATTTATTTTTTTCGTAACAGTTATTTGCAATTTTAGATATATCACTAATGAATTCTTTAGTTTCGATAAATACTTGAAGATTAACAAAAAGAAATTCGTACAGAATTTTTTTAAANGAAGATTAACAAAAAGAAATTTGTACAGAATTTTTTTAAAATATATATGGTTTTTTATCTCATAAATGTAATCAACTATTGTGTACGGGTTAGTTTCTAACTCGGGATAGACAAGTTTAAAATCAATATAACTTATAAATGTCATAGCATTGTATAAATTCTCAAACATTGTCAATGAATTGTTTATTACTTCTACAAGGGATATTGTACAATTTATAAAAATTTCGAATAATTGAGCGTCTAAAAAGTGTTCACATATATCAACAACAATATTTAATACTTCTACAAATGTTGAAATTACTTCGCTATACCTGTAGTTTAAAATATAAACAATGTTATAGAAAATACTTAGCAAATTATCTGTGTTGAGTTTTTTATCAATTAAATCTGGAACACTGAAAATTCTAATCGAATCAAGTTTCAAGTGTAAGTTTCCCATAGATTTCCATCCATTTTGAATACATAAATGATTTCCTACTTCAATTAAATAATTTAAGTATGACGTTTCTTGAATTTTACATTCTACAGACGTGATATTGTAATAAATTAAAGTCAATGTTAAAACAAAAAGTCCAAGATTCATGTCAATAAATGTATAAAATAAAATACGCTATAAAATTAATTAAAATATTACATTTTTTATTCATTATTTATTGTGATATCCATACCTAAAAATATCGTGTTCATATTTAGACATGTGTTAACAAAATTCTAATTTATTAAACGCCAATATACAATTACTTATTATTTAGCACGTGTAAGACTGTATCATTACGGATATCATTTAAAAATATTTTTTTTTAGTAAATTTTAAAAGAATTATTTGGGTATTGTGTTTCAATTGTATTAGAATTTAAAAAATATAAAAATTCTTAAACATTTTTTAGCACAACTATTAATAATATTTTAGATTACACTGTAACTAATTTATCTTAATTGTTTAATCTAGTTTTAATAAATAAAAAGAAAGGCAAAAATAAATTTAAATATTATAGAATAAATATTGTATCAATAAAATAATTCTAAAAATATTTAATAATAATTAAATTATTGTATTTATAAACACTTAAGGGAATATTTGTGTATAATAGAAACACACGCATTTATTTGAACAAATATGCATATTATTTTTTTTCAAAGAAAATGTTTTATTTTTTTACAAGATTATTCTTTGAATATTAACCACTGTATTTTCATAAAATAATAATTATGTTATATAATAATAAATATTGTATTTCTTTCGATTATTTTTGATATTTTTCATTTTATTTATTTCTTAAATTGTCAAATACAAAAAGTTACATTCTATTATTTCAAATTGTAAAGAATCACTTAAAATTTCAGCATCCGAATCTATTCAGCTATATTCTAAATTTGATCTACAATTAACACAAAATAATATTTAAAAATTATATTCTTTAAAAACACCTTAATAGTTTTAACCTGAATTTATTACCATGTATCTTGTCCCAATGATATCTGCTTTTAAGATAAAATCTAAACCAGGACATTAAAAGTCACTTAATTCAGACTCGCTGAGTATAAGGATAAGAGTATCGTAATCCATTGAATCAAAGGTTATTTAAAAAATACTATACAGAGTGTTCAGTAAGTTAGGAAACAGTTAAATTGTTACAAACAATGATTACAATAGAAATTCGTTTCCTTATTTACTGAACACCCTGTATATTATATCAGCCTTGTTATAAAACAGGAGGTTATAATTGATAGTAGAAAAACCTGAACATAAACCATTCTATTCCTTCACTTAAATTTTATTTTTAGATCATTGAATATTGTTAAGAACCAGCACCTGAAATTTATTAGCTAAATGAGACTGCATAATGACTGATTAGAAATTATAATTATTATTTATACTAGGGCATCCATTTTTTAGCTTCAATGCAAAGTTGAGAAGGTATTAATTTTACCATCATATGTTTATTTATTTTTTTTTTCTTTGTCATTACATTTTTTCAGCTCTCACTGCAATGATTTATCTCAACGATACGTCAAAAGATCACAAATGTATCTAGTTGAAAATATTACCATCAAAAATTAAAAATGTTGCCCTCGTTCCCCGTATTTTAAATTAAAGCTTATTTATTATACTTTACTATGAAAAAAATAATTCGAGATAAAGTGAAAATGGTTATCATCTTCAAAAATGATATTTTTGTGTAAAAATTCTTGATATTGTATTTTAATATATTTTTTAAAGAGAGTACACTGATTTTCATAAATATTATATAAATCTAATTGACATAGAATATAAAGTTAAACTTACTTAATTTTTTTTTTCAAGTCGAAAAAGTAACTTTAACATTTGTATCAGCTTAAATTGCTAATTTTATCAAACAACTAATGCGACGAATGTTTGCCGATTCAGTAAAAATCATTGCCTGTGTGAAGATGAAAAAAAATATAATTGGATCAATCCATGCCAAATCATCCAGAAGTGGTTGCACAACCATCTCATAATTTTCTGAAATTTCCAGGGTTTATTCATATATGCTATATTTAGATTATCACAATTTTTTTTTTTTATCATCTTTCCATTTTTATGGCTATTTTAATGTAAAAAAAGTGAAAAATAGTTAGATCGTTAAAAAACACACAGATTATTCAATTTCAACTCAGTCGAATTAAAATTTTAGATTAGACCCTATTATAACTTAAAATTTACATTAAAAAAAATTTAAGAGAAATTCTAAACTTTAATGACTTTCAAAAATGGCGCATTTTTTGTGAAAATTGGCGTTTTTAGCTCACTTAAAACCATTAAGAAGTTATTATTTTATTTTGATTTTTACATGTGGTATTGTATAGTGTATAATCTATGTTTCAACTTAATTTCAAATATTTAAAACAATTATCTTGGGATTTAGAGGCCTACAAAGTTAGACATTTTATAAAAATACGTGTATACTAAGTGCAATATCTCTGTTAGGGGACCTAATTTCCAAAAAAAATTTTTTTAGTTTTGTAGATATATATCTGTTTTATACACCATAAAAATTTGAAGTTTTAGATAAATGTGTAACATGTAAAATTATTTTTTTTTTTTTTATGTAAACTTTAAGTTATAATAGGGTCAAATCTAAAATTTTAATTCGATTGAGTTGAAATTGAATAATCTGTGTTTTTTTTAACGATCTAGCTATTTTTAACTTTTTTTACATTAAAATAGCCATAAAAATGGGAAGATGACAAAAAAAAAAAAAAAAATTGTGATAATCTAAATATAGCATATATGAATAAACCCTGAAAATTTCAGAAAATTATGAGATGGTCGTGCAACCACTTCTGGGTGATTTGGCATGGATTGACCCATTGAATTGTAACTTTAAATCAGCACAAAAAATTGCTCAAGTAATGTAAATTTATACTTTGTTAGTAAAAATTCTTGTAGACTATTTATTCATAATTAACAACAAATTGTGTTATGAAAAGTTTTGTATCAGACTTTTCAATTATTATATACGTTTGTCATAAAAATAACAACTAATTTATAGAATTTTATGATTTCTTCGTAATAAATATCAATTTTATACTACATTGAATTGCTATAATAGATATAATAAAGTTACGGTAGCACAGTGGGGTCGCGGCATAGTGGAGACATTGCATAGTTGGGTTCAGTCTAGATTTAATCTGACAGTGATTAAAATCACTATCATAAGAAACGCTTCGATGCAAATCTGTAGATAGTGTTTAATTTAAAAAAATTGATGGATAATTGCAAAAGCAACATCAACTTCTATTAAAATAAAATACAAAACCCATAATTTTCATACAAAAATAGCATATTTTTGAATATGGTAGCCATTTGCGTATAGAAGATAGGTCGTCGGGACAAATTTTTTTTTTTCATTTTGTAGTACATAAAATAAGCTTTAATTTTATATATGTTTAAAGGACGCAGTATTTCCGGAACATTTTCAAAAATTAAGTTGAAAAAGTTATTTTTTGTAAAAAAGTTACTATTTTAAATCCTCCCAGTGAGCAGAATAAGTGTTAGATTTTCAAAAAAAATTATATCAAATGAAAGGGAAATATCTAAGGTTTCAATACAAAAAAATATTATTTTTATTTGTTCATTTTTGAAAAAGTTATGGCAGTTTTAAGTACAAAAAACATCCCGATAAAAGGTAATTTTTATCGCAAACATTACATTTTTTTTTAAATTTTCGACAGCCATTTGCACATAGAAGATAAGATGTCGGGACAAATTTTTTTTTTTCATTTGATAGTATATAACATAACCTTTGATTTGATATATGTTTAAAGGACGCAGTATTTCCGGAACATTTTCAAAAGTTCAGTTGAAAAAGATCTATGTTTTTTACAATATTTTAAGTTTTGAACGCCCCCTATATAAGGGGAAATTGTCCAATTTTAATAAAAAGTATGTCAAATGAAAGATGTACTTATAATGTATTTAGAAAAAAAAAATTTGTGCTGATATATACATTTTTCAAAAAGTTATAGCATTTTTAAGTTGAAAATTTAAAATCGAAAATCGAAAATTTTAACACAAAAATAGTGTTTTTTTAACTACGGCAGCCGTTTAAATGTAGAAAAAAAAGTGTCGGGACAAATTTTTTTTTTTCATTTTGTAGTACATAAAATAAGCTTTAATTTGATATATGTTTAAAGGACGCAGTCTTTCCGGAACATTTTCAAAAATTAAGTTGAAAAAATTAATTTTTGTAAAAAAGTTGCCATTTTAAATCCCCCCCAATGAGCAGGTTAAGTGATAGATTTTCAAAAAAATGATATCAAATGAAAGGTAAATATCTAAGGTTTTAGTATAAAAAAAAATTATGTTGATTTGTTGATTTTTCAAAAAGTTATGGAAGTTTTAAGAAAAAAAAGTGAAACAATTACGAAAATTAGCGATTTTTAAATTTGTAATTTTTTTGGATATTTCCCCCATTTGCGGGGAACGAGGGAATTTTTTTCAATTTTTAAGGGTAATGTCTTCAACTATATACGATTTGTGATCTTTTGACGTATTTTTGAAAGAAATCGGTCCTATGAGAGCTGAGAAAAAGTGGCAACAGACATAAAAAAAAAAAAAACACATCATAGTAAAATTAATACCTTCTCCGCTTCGCATCGAAGCTAATATTATACTTTTAAATCATAGAACTACTAATTAGAAAAAATAACGGAAATAAGAGTTAATTTTGCTTTTGAATCATCCACCAACTTCTTAAAATTACACACAATATACAGATATGCATCGAAGTGTTTCTTATGATAGTGATTTTAATCACTGTCAGATATCATCTATACTTGTCCCAATTATACCACTATCACATTGTGCAGCGACCCCTTTGTGCTCCCGTATTTTTTTTTTTTAAACAATTTTTACAATATAGAACTATATTTGAAATATGATTTTTGTTATTTTTTGTAATTACAAAAAATAATTTAAAAGTTTTTTATTAACATTTTTTTTAAGACTTCAATATAGTCATTTTATAGATAAGTCTTAAAGAAAAATTTGTATATCAAAAACTCTTATTTTAATTCTGTAGTCATGTTTATAATGCATTTTGAAGTTTGTTAAATTTTTATTTTTTTTTTACGATTTTCCTTTAGTATCAATATATGTCTATTAATTATATGTAAATAGTCTATGATATGTAAAGACATAAGTAAACACTATATCATTAGATTATTTACTGGTAATAGTATGCGAATTATATAAGTAAACATTAACACGTGCCTCAACAATGTTGAAATAATTTTAATAAAAAAATTAATTTTTTAATATATTTTGTTATTTCAAAAAATAATATAAATCACATTATAAATATAATATAATCTTATTCTATAAATGTTTTTTAATATCATGAGGACGAGTTCTAGTAGCGAATTTTTTGTTATAGTTTTCACGTCGTTAAGTTCTATTTATTTTAGTCTTTTCCGGGACTTGTAAAGTAATAGGTTCAGTTTTAGCTTCGATGCGAGAAGGTATTAATTTTACCATGATGTGTTTATTTT